ACCAAGAGAGATTGGAGAGCACAAGACAATCTGAGTATTTGTTATTCAGCTGGTGGGATCAGCCCAGCCTTGTTAAGAGGGCTTAAGGGCTGAGTACAATCCTGTCCTCTCCATCAAAATTACCACTGTTCATTTAGCTCTCAGAAAGCCAAAATACATTCACATGGGCTGAAAGTTGCCATCTGATAAGCAGAAAGACCAATCCAAGCCCACAAGACCACAGCAGGCCCCGTACCACAGGATAGAGTGTCCCAACAGCAGGAGAAAATGAGCTCTTCTGCTGCACAGCCTGCCTGAAACCACACCATGCTGCTGGGGGCCAATGTATTGGGGAAGGCAAGGGCTTAATTAGGTATAATTAACTCTGGAGGGGAAGCAAGAGCAACATGCCTCCTGCTCCGACAACACTTTGCCTGGGGAAAATTCCTCTTGCCCCTCAATCAGGCAGGCAGGATGCTGAGCACGCTTCTATCAGTCACTGACAGGACTGGCCCCTCCCTGCCAACCCAAAGCAGCCATCCTCTGGGTTCCCACTGCCCCAGGCTCAGCCCTGCTCCGACCAGCATCTTCTCCTTTCTCTACTCCCCGCGCAGGTGTGCCAGCACATCAATGTACTTCTGCATGGCACATTGGTCCCAAAGACAAACAGATGCCTGAGTAGAAGGATAACCATCTCCTTATCGCTTTTATCCAGACTAACTCAATCCTGCAGGTAAAACTGCTGCTTTTAACCCAAATCAGCCCCAACTGAGGCCAGAGGCACTCCGACAGACTCACGTACCTTTGCACTGGTACCTGCTGACAGCTCAACCCACATGATGGATGGACCAGGTGCCGGCCAGCCCCAAGGATCAGCCACTCCATCCTGATGCTTCCCCAACCTGTAATTTCCCAAGTGGGTGAGGGATGGAAGGGAGCTCCTCACCCATTGCAGGAGCACAACCTGATGGGTGTGAACTAGCATACAAACCAGATGGCCACCTTGGTAAGCCACAGCTGTGCTAAGGAGAGGTCATACCGGTAATGAACTGGGCCTGGTCCTCACTAATTAATGCTGTCAGGTGAAGTTCAGAGGTGCTCACTGATAAGGAATAAATCAATCCCTCAGAAATGCATACGTACAGAAAGGGATAGTTGAGTTAGTTCCTCTGCATCCCAGAGGGCAAGTTATCATCCCCTTAACTTTCTCATTACAGCGTGCTTGAGAAACACTCTTTCCATCCTGTAAATATATGCCCTTCCCAAATTCGTGATGCTTCCAGGTGCTGGAAGCTAACCTAGCCTCAGAGCAAAACCAGAACCTCTCCTGCTCCGTGGTGATGCTGTGGCCCAGGAACTCATCCTGGGATCCTCAATGTCTTCCTTCTGGCCTCGTATTTTGATACAACAGAAGAAAGGGACGCCCTCCAGAGAGAACTGGACAGGCTTGAAAAGTGGGCCCTTGTGGAGCTAATGGGGTTCAGCAAGGTGCAAGGTGTTGCAGTTGGGTGGAGGCAATCCCAGATACTTGTACAGAATGAGAGAAGTGCTCATTGGGAACAGCTCTTCAAAGAAGGACTAAGAAGACCTGGTGGACATGAGCAAGCCAGCGTGTGCTAGGAGGCACATAAGGCAAGCAGGAGACCACACTGCTGGGGAGAGAGACAGGACCGCTGCGTGACTGCTAATTAGCAAATGCCATTAGCAGCCCTGCACTGATCCACGGCCATGTGACGCAAGGTCAGTTGGAGACAGCTTTCCCTCTTATCTCTCCATGTGACATCTCACAACATTGCTGAGGGGTTAAATAATCATCAGCACTGTGCCAGCCAGCCCCCAGCCGATGGAAACGTGATTCCCCCTAAAACAGGATGCACACCCAGGCTGAATTCACACACGGTAATTAACGCCGAGTGCTGCTTGGGCAGGGAGGGGACAGGGGAAGCCTGCACGTTGTATTTTTAGTGCAGCTAATAGCTGTAGGGTTTTATTCCTGTCTGCACGTTAATTGACAATCCTGAAGGAAAAAAAAAAAAAAGGTTAATTCCCAATAAAGCCTAGAGAAAATCGATGCAGCCTCCTGACGAGTGCGTGTTTCAGCAGGAGGCCAGTCCTGCAAGGCTCCCACCCACAGGACTTTTATGGGGGCTGCTGGCACGATGCCCACCTCCCTGCTGCATCCCCGCTGTGCTTTGTCCTCCTGCCCAGCAGCTCAGCCATAGAGGCTCGGCTGGGGGCACGGTGCTGTCACATGGGGCTGAGCAGTGCAGGAAATATAAATGTGGTGACGCGTGCCCAGCAGGCTGTCCCCACGCCGGGAGCACCCAGCCCTGCAGCAGGAGCTGGGGATGCCCATGCCAGTCTCACAGGGACCCGTAGAGCCCAGCCTGGCAGAGCCAGCCTTGCACAACCAGCCTCCCGAGGTAGGTGGGACAGCAGGCGGGTTGTCACATAACGCTGTGGGGCAGCCCCACCTGGCTTAATTATCTCTGTTTCTTTGGTGCTGGGAGGGTGCAAACCTTAAATCCATCATGGATTCAGCTTGAAGCCAGGAGCAGCTGGCCAGCCACCTTCGCATCAGGGGGTCCTGCGTGCACACACAGCTGAAATTTCATTGGGAAAAAAAAAAACATACAACAACTTGTTTTCCTGCTCCTGGAGGGCAGCTTTAAATCACTGGGTCTGGACACCGATGATTTTTACCCCATCTAGAGACTGTGTGTTGAAGCTTTGGGGTTGGCAGAAGAAGAAACCATGATCTGAAGTCTCCGCAGTGCTATGGCAAAGTTGCTATGAGGCAGCTCATGGCAACGGCTTAGGAAACAAGCTCTTGCTTTAGTCGTTTTGATTTTGCATGTTGTGCTCTTTTGTGTGACAGCGATGAGTTTTCCTTGTAATGTGAAGCTGGTGCAGACAATTTAAGTCATTATTAATAGATATGCTTGATCTGGGGAAGTAAAATGCTTAATGTTTTGTTAAATGAGGTGTACTCTGCAAATGCTCATATTCAAGGAGATGGTGAAGATGCTGCCCCACGTTAGAGATTAATGGTTGCGAGCCTATTGCTGATGGGGTGATCACCCTTTTCTCACCAGCATTTGGAATTTTGGACACATAAGGTGATCCCAGGTTAAATTTGTGGCAGGCCCAGGCCCTCAGAGCAGCATTTGCACAGAGACCTTGATAGCTGAATGGATGGCACAACCTGAAGCTTCACAGCACACCATGGGATCTCAGCCCTCCACCACTCAAAATGGAGGCTTGCCCAGGGCTTCTAACACATCACTGCAAAGCGTGGGTCACAGGTGGTAGAATTTGATTACAGACATTTGGAAGAAATTCCTCACCCTGGGGGTGGCGATGCCCTGACACAGCTGCCCAGAGAAGCTGTGGATGCCCTATCCCTGGCAGTGCCCAAGGCCAGGCTGCATGGGGCTCTGAGCAGCCTAGTCTGGGAGATGTCCCTGCCCATGGCAGGGGTTGGAGCTGGGTGGGCTCTAGGGTCCCTGGCAACACAAACCACATCATGGTTTTATAATTAACCTTAGACACCCGACCAGGGATGACTTCCCCACTTCCGGTCAGCCTCAAGATGTTTTGCAGGTGTTCTGCCTGCCAAATCCTCTCTCCAGTAAATCATTTTTGTTTCTATAATAACATTATAGATACATGGAAATATCATTTCATCCTGACAACTTTCTCTACCCACATCAGTGGAAAAAGCACCAGGCTTAGCTGGGTCCTGCATGAGGAAACTGGGAGAGGCTCATGTGCTCGTGCCACTCAGATACAAAAGGATTTTTTCTTCTGCTCTCACCACTCCTGACTATTTTTAACTCCCTGCAAGTACTGCTGTTGAACCTGTCATTAGCATGACCCAAGAAGTGAGTGCTACGTGCAAATAGATGCTGATTACAAGGCTCACAAGAAGGGGTCACGGAGCATTTCAGTGTGTTGGCAGCATTTAATGCCCGAGATGCAAACATACACAGACACCCCTTGCAAAATTAGCCCATGTCTGTCTGAGAATATCGGAGCTTCCCAGCACACACAGAGGGTGGTCTGGGGAAGGGGATGCTCTGGAAGGCTGCTGCTGTTGGGCAGGTGGTGACAACAGGGCACTCACAGCCAGGCCTCCTCAGCACCCTGCTCTTCCAGGGCCAAAGAGTCTGATGTCACTGCAGCCTCACCAAGCAAAGCTAACAGCATGGGTGCACTGAGCCAGGGCACGCACAGGTTCTCTAAGCAGCAGCCCCAAAGACCTCTCCTTGCAGAGGGCTGCAGGAAGGACCCAAGCACATGAGGAAGGGCTGGCAGGTGAAGACATGGGGCTTTTTGTAACTGAGAGCCACGAGACACAAGTCACGAGATACCAGCTCTATTCTTGGCCCCACCATGGACTTCTCCCATGACCTTGAGGGAGCCGATGGCTGCAAGCGCCCTCCTTGGAGCAGCCTGGCTCCTTTCTCTCCTATACAAGGCATTGCAGGAGAAGCAGTTCTCCCTGCCAAAGGCTCTGGAGGGTTTTTACCTCAGTGGGCTTTGCCAAGTGCTTTGCATCCTTGAGAAGACTTGCTGACACGCCAGCTGCACGGTGCTGTCCCCTGATGCAATGCACGGAATCTCTCTGTGCAGCTGTGGCGAGATGCCAACAGGTATGGAAAAGTGTCAGAGAAAAAGGCTTTCTCATTCGGGTACTCTCTTATACGGAGCTCATGAATGTTTATATGGGGTTGGTCGGATGGGAGCTGGTTACATTTCCCAGCCTGAAACAAGGGCATTGGGATCAATCTGCCAGCGGCAATTAGAATATTGAATCAAAGAGGTGCTAACGTGCACAGCCCAGGGACCACCTGACCCTCTTTGTATCGGGTATCCATTATCATCTGACCCCTCTGGAGTTATAAATATCACAACAATAGAGCCTTAACTGGATTATAATTAGACAATGAGGACAGGACAATGGAAACAATGACCTATAAAAGCCCCTCTGCCCTCCCGGCTGCAGGGGAAGCACTGGCATGGACAAGTTACCAGGACCAGTGACAGAGAGGCTGCAGATTTCTCCCAAACTGGATTCACAGCATCCACTGACATCTCCTGCAGAGAAGTACTACCAAGCCCTGGTCACAGGGAACCTGAGGAGCCTGCAGGTGCTGACAGACAGATACTATGAAGATGTCAACCTGGTTTTTGAGATCAGTAAAAACGAGATGGAGTGGCAGGTGAAAAGCCAAGCATTTTATGGACTCTCAGGTACTTTTTCTTTAAAAACCAGCCCAGATCAACCCCAGCTATTTACTAACCTAACCAAATGGGAGTTGCACAGGACACCGAAGTGCCTGGTGCTGCCTTCACTGCAACCTGTTCCTGAGATGCCTCCTTTTTGGCTAAAGGGTTGAACCCTTCTGCCTTAACCAGAAACACTCTGCACTTTGGTTGCTTTCTTCTGTTCTGTACGTACTACTAACATGGAGGGGCTGGAAAGTGCAAGAAGTGTGTGCTCGCATCATTTTCCAGGCTGGGATGGGGCACCCTGTAGGTCAGGCATGCTTGCAAGAGGGCTTGCAGCCCAGATTCCTTGGTGGCAGCTGGGAGAGGTCACCTCACTCCTGTCTGGCAGTAATGAGATGCTGGGCTTTCTTTGTACCAGCAAGAACAGTTCCTCCTGCTCTGCTGCAGGCAGGAACCCCTTGGCTGGCTTTCAGCAGCTGCCCACAGGAGAAGGGAAGGAACAGAACCTGCAGCAAGGGTGTTTATCTACCTGGCACGAGTGTCTTCTCATACCGTGCCACAGAATCATAGCATTACCTTGGTTGGAACAAAAACTTCAGGATAACCAACCATTAAACTTGACTTAGTGACTCCCATCACCAAGCCATACCCCTCAGTACCACAGCCACATAAACACCTGCAAGGTTGGGTGCTTCTCCACTTCCCTAGGCCATCCTCACTCACCTCCCTCGCCCCTGCAGGGCTGTGGTCGCTGGAATACAAGCAGGAGCTGAGCACACCTCTGTGCATCGCTGCCAGCCGGGGCCACATCGCCTGCCTGCGGCACCTCCTGCATCGTCAGGCTGACCCCGATCTGGCACCGGGGGGCTGGGCCCCTCTGCATGAAGCCTGCCGTGGGGGGCACGCTGCCTGCGTCGAGCTACTGCTGGAGCACCAGGCTGATCCCAACCTCCAGAGCGACGAGGGGCTGGCCCCGCTGCATCTCTGCACCACCCGCAACTCGCTGCGGTAAGGAGAGGACCTTCCCCCAAACCTCCCCTACCTCTGTCCTTGCAAAGATCCCCAGCCCAGGGTCGCACAGCTGCCATGCTTCCTCCTGGGAGATGCCTGGGGTTTTCTTCCCTGACCCTCAGCCCCATCCACGTGAGATATCAGTGCCGTTTAGCGCGCTTGCTCTTCCTAATCTGATGCGCCCTGCACCCTTGTCCCATGGGTGGATCCATCCCAATTAGGATTATCTCACTTTATCCTGGTTTATGAGGCTCAGCCGCGTGCATCCGCTCTCCTCTACAGCTGCATCAGTCTCAGTGTTTCAGACACAGGCACGGATGTTGCATTTTAGAAATACATGTGTTTGCCCTCTCCGTGGGTTTTGTGTGTGCGTGTGTGTGTCTAGTTTCAGCCCAGTAGGACTTTAAGTGCCTGAATCATTAGGCCTGGGGAATCAGGATTTTAAAAAGAGCTCGGCCCCTTGATATCCTGATGAAACCGCTTAGGGCTGCAGCGAATTTCATTGCCTGCCAGCTTCAGTCAAAAGCCACCCTGGCTTCAAACCTCTCCCCTTAAGGCAGGCAGCGAGCTTAAATAGAAGTAGGTGTTGAAGGCAAGGTACCCACTACAGATCCAATGTATTGTGGGCCAGATGTCAGAGATCTGTTCAAGCAAGAGCTCAGCAAAAGAAAGGCAGCCGGAGAGGAAAAGGTTTTCAGACATAAATATCTCAAACCCGTCATATAAATAAGAGCCTCTGCAATAGAGCAGAAGACACAAACCATTCAGCCAAAATCCCTGTATTAATCAAACAGCCTTGATGCGATGAGGGCTGTGTCGGCGCCCACAACACAAATTACTTCCCAGGCTGGAAGGGTGAGGGAGGATGGCACCAACAGCCCTTGTCATTAATAACAAGCTGCTTCTCCTTCCTTCCCTCTGGACTCTCCTGGACAGCCCTTCTGGTGATACACTGCCAATCCATCAGCCCCCAAACCATCTCACCAGCATTCCCCAGAGCCCCACCTGGTGTGTTTTAAGCCCCTCAATCCAGAAACAGTGAGGAAGGGGCTCAGGATGTGGCTGACAACCAGCACATCCCTCATCCCACAGAGATCTGAGCAAAACGTAAGAGAGATCCCAATATTAGAGCCATCACCAATCTGCACGCTATTCCCCCCAAAGAGGTGGAGGGGGATGGCAGGTGAGACAGCAAAAAGACAACACAGGGACCAGGCAGGTGCAACGTGGAAACAGCTGAGTGATAAGCCCTTGAATATTGGGGCTTTATAATGGAAATGCTGAGAGACCCTTAACTACGCTACGGGGGCTTCTACAATAACTAAGCCAACTCCCTTGAAAGATCAAAAATTAATAGACATTTCAGACAGGTTTTGAGGTTTCGACCACTGCTTTTCAATAGCAAAGACTTTGCTAAAGTTAGAGACTGAGGAGGTCAAGCTTGAGGTAACACAAACATTTCCTCTTTGATTAGGGGGAGACTACTTTACCCTGTCTTTTTTTTTTTTTTTAAGTAGTAGATTTTAGGTCATCCTTAATTTTTTACTGACAATAAAGAGCAGGTCATTGACCTACATAGAGAGCTATTTTATTTTTCTCCCTCTTGATAACAATGGCCAGAACACCAATGTGCTGGGTTCTTCTATATTCCCATATACTCGGCAATTCACCATGGGGGCAGGACTTAAAACCTTTGAGCCTCTCAGTGACTGGGATAAAAAAAATTATCTGGGCTTCCTTCCAGCCATTTGAGCTTCAGAATCCATGAGATTTCAACAAAAAGGATATCAGAGCTTTAATCTAGGAGCTTTTTGAAGAGATTTAAAAAAAAAAAAAAAGTTCCAGTAAAGTTCAGTCTTACCTTCTTCACTTTAGGAGCTGTTCATGCCAACGTCGCCCTATTTAGTAGAGTTCCTCTCCTTGACCTCTTTTTTACAGCAGAGATAATTAACATGGTGGGGTAAGATGAGTCTCTAAATTCACTGCACTCTCTCCCTGGCTCTCTCTCGTTTCCCTCTCAAGCCGGGATGATTAAAGGAGAGCGCCTTCTTTGGCACCCCAAAAAATAAAATAAAAATAATTGAGGGGGAGAGGAAGAGGCTCTGCTCTCTGCATCAGGACGGCAAGCAGGCACAGGGTGGTTTCAGTGGAGAACAGGACGTGTTCTCCCCCATCCCACAGCAGTACCCCCAGCAGAAGGGATGGGGAACTCAAGGACAGGCACCAACTGAGCCTCTGCTCTGCTGTCCTCCAGATCTGCCAGGTTAGAAAGGCTGTCCAAAGAGCACAAGATTCCCTTGGAGCTTCCCAACGGGTCTCTACGGAGGGGAAGGCCCCCAGAGCTCCCCATCCCCAGGCTCTCCCTTGCAGAAGAGGGCTTGCCATGCTAAGGATGGGAACAGATGGCACTGCTTCTGCCCTTGGCTTAACGACTCCCTGTTGCCCTGTGCCATGTCGAGCAACGCGACTAGGAAAATTGTGCTGACAGTGAGGGCTTCCAGCAATCTGACGCATCTGTTAGGCTGTCCCTCCAGCCAGAGCCACCTGCTGGCATGAAAAAAGCCCTCGGTCATCAACTCTTTCTCTCCTTTGTTGTGCTAATGCCACCCAAACCCCTTCAGAATTGTGTTTCTGGAGTACCTGGCCCCCTTGGAAGGAGTTTTTTCATGCCTGACTCGGATCTTTGTGCTCACTTTTTTACTTTTCTACACCCTGAGAGGTGGAAGAGATATTGTCTTCTAGCTCTGACCCTCTAGCTTTGGGGACAGGAGATAAAACATGAGAAGAATCAGTGAAGAGGGGATTTTGTGTCCTTGGGACTCCCAGCAATATAAAGTGAGGCAAGGGGCAAGCACTGGAGCTCAGGGAGGTGCTTTTAAGTGAGGGTAGCTCAAGTAAGGCAAGTCTGGAAGAAGCCAGCAGAAAACAGGAGTAAGAATGGTCTCCCTCTCCCAGAATTGTAGAATCATAGAATCATTAAGGTTGGAAGAGACCTTTAAGATCAATCCAGTCCAACTATCAGCCCACCCTCACCAGATGCAGCCAGAGAGAAGTTGCTGCAAACAAACAAACAAAAGAGCATGGATTTTGAGAGCCAGCATGTAGCATCATCTAGTGCTAAATCAAGTCCTCTGCTCCGTTTGGTATTGCTGGAATACAAAACTCAGAGCATTCAGGGCCTCTGCTTTGGAAATTTGTTCTTCACTCAAGGAAGGCCACCTCTGTGACAGACCTTGGGCAGAAAAGAACGCACTCAGAACAGACAGTAAGCACAACTCAACAAGAGCCTTCTTTGGAAAAGAATAGGACTTTCAAGAAGTCAAAGGATGAGGTGTAACAGGAACAAGCCAAGCTGAGGTGCAGGACAGCTGCACACCAACTGCTCGTGAGGATTTGGCGAAGACACTCTCAGGCCCTGAGCAGCATCCCTCCACATCCAGCCACCTGCCCACAGCTCAAGCATCACCATCATTCTCCAATGGGCTTTCCCTACCCAATGGGCGAAATTTTATGTTAAAGAAAAGCACCTTCCTAGTCTCTTTTCTAATGATATTAGCAAAAGTTATCCTCGCATTCAGGCTTGTGAGTGTTCCTCAAGCTGCAGGAAATGACAGACAAGATCAAGAGTAGTTCACTCTGAGCAGCCCTTGCCATGAAAAACAAGCAAGTAAAGGACAGGAAAGCCTCACTTCAACCCTAGGGAGGGAAAAAGCAGCAGCAGCAGCAGCAAAACAAACAGATTTTGATTACAAATATTGAGGGCTCACTCTGGTTTTGGGACAGAAATTTCCCTGAGACCGCCCCAGCCTTCTGCTCCTCCTGCTGGCTGCTCATTGCATCCCATTTCAAACCAAAGCTCTCTTTCCTAGCCTGGCTATGATGTTTCACACCGATCTCTGACTACCATTCATCTCCATGGCACCTTCACGAGGCACTGTGAGCTGTGGCCAGAGCTGAGGGCACTTTGCCCTTTAGAAAGCACCCATGGCACCAACGCATGCACCAGATGACAGCACCAGGCTGGCGGTTTCTTTTGCCACCTCACACCTTAAGTTTGGCTGCACTAAGCCCTTGACTTCTTGCAGTACTTCCAGAAAACCAAAGCAGAGGAGACTCAAAAAAACAGCAAGTTTAACTCAGCCTTGTTCAATGGGACTTCAGCCTACCTTTGATGGTAAACAAGAAGATATGAATAGAAAAACGAGACGACAGACAAGCTGGGAAAGTGTTAGAGTGCATGAGTTCATCAACAGAGATTAGATGCTAAAATAAGAGCAAATAGCTAGCAAACATGAATGGCATCTACCCCATCTACAGCCCCAGGCTGGCTGCTAACCAGCACCTGCTTTTGCCCCACACATTGAAACAGGAGGCACGTGGTCCTCCTCGGGGCCCACAATTTCCACAGGAGATCACCCCTTATTTATAGCCCCTCACTGACATTACAGAGGGAAAAATCCACCACCAAACAACTTGGGTTTCCTCCAGCAAGTTGGATGAGATGAAGCCATAGAACTCAATAACAAAAACAGCATCTGGGAAAGGTGGGGTTTCCAGACTGGTGTGCCTGGAGGAATATTTGGGATGTTGAGAGGAGTTTGACTCCCTGCAGTGTCAGCTGTCCTGCAATACATTCCTGCTCCATGGGATGTGACCACTGCAGCACAGCCTCTTCCCCCAGACTCCCCTCCACACCTCCTAGCAAGGACTGTGCTGCTGCATGCTCTCACCTAAGGCAGAAATATCTTTTTCCACTGGTACGACAGCACAAGTCATTGCTTGAAACAGGAGTCATGTGTGTTTTAAAGTGGGATCTGCCCAGTACATGCAACAGTTCTGGGGTAAATTCATTCCTTTCCAGAAGGAAATGCAGAGACCAACATGCATGACAGCCAGCCCTGAGCTTATCACCTGCACTGTCAGATTATGTCTTTTGCAAAGCCTAAGTTCAGAGGACTATTTTAGGTCCATAGTATCAAACATCAATTAAGGAACAATGGACACAGAGCACAGAGAAAGTATTCAGTGTAAGATTCCTGTGCAAGCTGCAGCCTCAGAACTAAAAAGACCAATTAAAAAACTAGACCTTGGGGTTCTTTTAATGTCTTGTTGAAACACTGGCAGCAGATCCAGTGCAGTCTGGCAGGGTCTGGAAGCACTACACCAACAAAGGCTGAAGAAATATTCTGGCCACACTGTTCTGCAGCAGCTTCCCCAGCAAACTGGGGCTTGACATGCACAGGAGAGCGGACCAGGGAGGTGCTGTCAGGTCCTGCACTGCCAAGGACAGCAAGTTCTTAGCAAGCCTCAAGAAGGAGTGCTGCTGCAGAAACCAGAGAGCCTCAAGTAACCTTTATTTTATTTAGTATTATTAATACTTCTGCATTATTATCCCTAGGTATGTTACCATTCATCTAGGCCAGACAAAACAAGCACTGCTCTGGCACCGTGCTTCTTCCCCAGGGCTCCTCGTCTTCCCCATCCCTCTCTGTTCCCACTCAGGTTCTCCTCATTTTGCTTCTGCATTGCTACCTGACCCCACAGAAAGCCCCATAAAACATCTGAAATAGCTAAAAACACAAATGCTTGGTGCCACAAAGCTCGGCCCCTACAGCTGCGTGCCTCCCTGCCCCCACAGCACCCAGTCCTGGAAACATGGCAGCCATCCTGATTCATTAGGACTGGCTGATCACATCAGCTTACTCAGACACATATACACGCAAAACCCACGGCAGCATACCCAGCTCCTTCAGCCTCTATCTGTTGTCAGAAGGATTCCTGACCTCAGGTGGAAGAGGGTGTCCCAAGTGGTGCTCCAGAGACCACTTGACCCCAAGGCATGAATGTCAGCTGAGGCTTTGGGTTATGTAGATCTTCTCCAAAGTACCCCAGGAGATGAAACTTCAGCCAACAGATGGACAGCATGAAGGAGCCCATCTCCCTATGTGTCCTCATTGTGGCCCTTCAGTTGAGACAGAACCCAGCCCGCAGCCAACTGAGGGCATCTGCACGAGCATGGGCACAGCCAGGCTGAGAGCCCTCATCCACCAGTGGTGTAGGGACAGCATGAGCTCGGTTGTCATAGCAGTCAAAAAATGAATGAAACTGCTCTAAGGCATGAGGGAAACGTTGTCCAAACCACCACCAGAGTGGAAACACGGCACCAAAGTGCAGAGCAGCCCTCTGTTGCACCCTGAAATCAATGGTTGCACTACAGCCCCGTGGGATCCCAACCCTTCCCCATCCTCTCTGCAGACCCCCCCCCAACACACACCCATACCATGGCTTTACAGATGCGCCGAGCTGCTGCTGAAACACGGAGCCACCATTGACCTGCCCAGCGAGGACAGCGGGGAGACAGCACTGCACGTGGCAGCCAAGCACGGCCTCTATGACCATGCCCACCTCTACCTAAGGCACGGGGCAGATGTGGATGCCCGCAGCACCCGGGGTGAGACGGCTTTGGGGTTAGTCTGCAGGCAGGCCCCAGATGCTGTTGAGGATGCCCTGCAGCTGTGCAGGCTGCTTGTGGTGCACGGAGCCAAGCTGGATGCACGCGACGAGCTGCAGAGGAGCCCTCTGCACGAAGCCTGTGGGGCAGCCAACAACGTGCTGGTGAGGTTCCTGCTGAGGCGTGGGGCAGATGTCAATGCCATTGACTACAACGGCATCTCCCCACTGGGCTGTGTGCTGCAGGCAGCTGCCTTCAAGCAGGAGCTGAGGCCTCACCTAGTCGTGCAGCTGCTGCTCAACTACGGATCCCAAAAAATATGGCCCCATGCCTTTGCCAAGGTATTGGTGGGCACAGGTGGTGTGGAAACAGGTTGGGCTGTGGGTGGGCTAGCATATGTGGGGGTTTGAAATCAGGATCCCCTCTGCTTGGTTTTGTTATGTCCATCAAGTCCAACCATCACCTGGCACCACTAATTGGTATTCCTCAGTGCCACATCCACACACCTCCTGAATACCTCCAGCAATAGGGTCTCCATCACTGCCCTGGGAAGCCCCTTCCAATGCTTGATCCTTCAGTCCAAGCATTAATTCTTCCCCATAATCAATCTAAACCTCCCCTGCTGCAACTTGAGGCCATTTCCACACATCCTAATATCACTGGGCTTGGCACAGCAGCCATCAGTGCAGTCTTGTTATGGCTGTGCGTCTCATTGATTTTACATCAAACAATCAAGAAAATATTACCCAGGCTTAACACTCACAAGCCAAAAATGTAAACAGGAGGCAAGAACCACATCCAGACGAAACACTGCCACAACAAGGCAGTTGTTGCCTTCAAATATGTGTCCAAAATACACAGAGGCAGACAGCAACTCAGATCCATAAGGGACCACCCCAGTCACCCTGTAAGAGGGCAGAAGGGAGGGATGAGCCTCATCGACAGCTTACAGAAAACATTCTACTCTGGGAAATGCCATCTAACCCCCCAATCACCTGTTCCCTCTTTGCCCATGAGTAGGTGCTGAGGTCCTGTGCAGCTGTGCCAGAGATCATTGAAATCCTCATCAACTCCTACTCACAAATCCCCATCTCTGAGAAGTGGGTGGAGGCTGTGCCAGAGGAGGTCCTGCAGGTAAGGCTAGAGCAAAGGGGCCAGCTGTACAGCACAGCCCACCCCCATGCTGTGCCAAAACAGGGACTGGTGCCAGCAAGAAAATAAACCAAAATGCTGTCATAAGCAGGTAGCTTCCAGGTGACCAGACAAACCAAACGGGATCCCAGAAAGAAATTAAAACACTTGAAGCTCCCTTTGTTGAGAGGTGTAGTGCTATAATAGGTGCCACAAAAGCAGAGTGGCAAAGTCTTTGGCTACAGCAAATGAGAGAGAAAGAGGATAGATGGATCTTTCCTTTAGAAGACCTCAGGTAGACAGGGATCTCCAGCAAGAGAGGCCCTCACCTCCACTGCCAACTCTTAAATAAGGTCTGGAAAGGGGTGGATCCTGGCTCCAGCCCTTCCAATCACTCAGGTACATTGTTTGCAGCTGAGCTCCCTTGGGTTGGCCCTGCCTTCTCACCAGGTGCTCAATCACTGCTTCAGGCCATGACTTAGCATTGCCACTACAGGAGGAAAAAAGAATGAAAACAGAAAACAGAAATAAGTGTAGCTGTAAGCATTGGAGCCCATTTTAACAGAGCCATCTCAGCTTTGCATCACCAAACACGGACGGCAGATTTCATACCTCCACCCCTTAAATCTCCATCTCTGGCTTGCTTGGCTTAACTAAATAACAGTAATAATAATAATAATAAGGTGCTCATTTATTTCCCCTGCCTCTCTTTGCAGCAGCACCAGCCATTCTATGAGTCCTTGTTCCGGCTGGCAGGCGCAGTCCGGTCCCTACAGCACCTGTGCCGTTCCACCATTCGGAAGAAATTTGGCAGCCGGTGCCACTGCCTCATCCCATCACTGCCTGTGCCCAAACCACTGCTGGATTACCTGCTGCTGGAACCAGAGGGTGTCCTGCTCTGAATGCACAGCCATCCTCTGCGTCTTCCCCGTGGCAGCATCCATTGCTGCTGGCCAAGCAGAGGAGCCACTGTCGTCATGACAGACCGGTGCTTTTCAGGGACTTCTAGCATAACCAAAATGTGCTTTCAGCTGTAATTTGGTATGGATTTGTTTGTTTCTTTCTTTTCTAATTGTGCTTTCCATGGATTGTAAGGAGTAATAAAATGAGGAGTGGCTGCTACAGATGTGCTGCAAGTGTGGGTGACATTCAGGACCAAGGAGCTCAGAAGGATTCTCACCCACTCCCCTGGCTGTGGTGCCATCTCCTGTGCCCATTCTGCCTGTCGTTGTCAACAGGCACGGAGGATGGTGGGCGTGCAGCCCTTTGGGCTGTCTTTGCCTGTGGTGCCTTGACACAGAACAGCAGGGAGCATTTGGATCCTCACATGATTGACTGCTGAAGCAAAGCACGTGTGCAAACACACCCCTTGGAAGCACTCACCCAATTGTTTCACTGCTCAGTGACACTCACTATCAAATAAAATGAAGGAGAGGGGGAGAATCAGCCTTTTTTTCATGTTGGGCTGCACAGAGCACAGAGCTCTGCACCCACGCAGCCCTCCTCTATTCACTACAGTGATGGGTACAGGATGGAGGCCCTGATTCCCACAGCCGGTGCTGAGCATGGAGATGGTGAAGAGAAAGAAGTTCCTCGCTGGAGTTCTGGAAGTGATCCCTGCCAGATGTGCACAGATGTGCCATCCGTGCCTCTTGACTCCGCCTCCTGGGCCGCGGGAATTACCCCGCTGCAAAGCACGTGTGACACGCTGCTCCGTTGCTTTGCACGTTTGTTTCGGGGTTTAAGTGGGGAATTGGAAGCTGCTGAGAGGAGAGCAGCCGTGCCCTAGCTGGGCTGTGCTAGGAGACAGCGGGAAGCTCGCGGGGGGAGTGGGGGGATCCGCAGACACGCGTGGGAAGCGGCGGCTGCGCGGCTGCGCGCGTCCCGCAGGGGGCGCCGTGGGAACGGCGGAGCGCGGCCGGTGGGAAGGGAGGGAAAGGTGAGATAGAAAGCGAAAGAAGAGAGAGAGAGGAAAGGTAAAATAAAAAATAAAGATAAAAAAAGAACTGTAAGAAAGCCGTAAAAGCCAACTGAAAGACGATGAAAGAGCGAAAGAAAGAAAGAAGGCAAAATTAAAAAAAAAAATAAATCCAAATCCCGACCGGGAAAAAAAAAAAAAAAAAAAAAGTTAAAAAAAAAAAAGAAAAAAAGAACAAAAACAATAATAAAAACAAAATAGTTTTGCGCTGCTTTTGTTGGTTTTGCCCCTTTTCTCGCGGCTCGGCTCCGCAAAGTTGCAAAGTTGCGCGGCCGCGCAGTTCTCCGCAGCCGCGGAGGGCAGTGAGCGGGCGGGGGCTGAACGGCAGCCGGAGGCGGGAGGTCGCATTAACTTGTAATACGGAGCCACATAAAAATGCGATTATGACTGCTAAACAGAACGCAGTAGGCTGCTAGTTAAGACAATGAGATTTCCGGGAAGCGATGCATAAATTCTTCAAAAATGACACATTTTTCACGTTTCATTCCAATTAAATTACTGAGGCAGCTAACACACGATACATTTGGGTGAAATGAAGGCTTTCCGGGAGGCTTTTGTCGGTCTCTCTGGATGCGCGTGGTTTATGGAACGCGGTTCCTATTAAGCCGCTATTAAGGCGGAATGTCGGAGCCCCCTCTCCTCGCCCTGCCCCGGGGGGTCGGGTCCGGCTCTGCTCCCCGCTCCCCGCAGCCGTAGGGGATGCCGAGAGCCCCGCGCGGCAGCTTCCGTCCCCAAAAACCCCCAAATGGTGGGAATGAAGGCTGCCGTGGGCTGCGCTTTCCCAGGGGGCTGGGAATGGAACGGGGCAGGGAGAGACCGGACGGGACCGCAAAGGGAAGGGGACACTAAAGGGATTCCAAGGGAGAGACCAGAGAAGACCCCGAAGGGGACTCCGAGAATGATCCCAAATGGGACCGCGATGGAAAATCCAACGGAGACCCCAAAGGAGATCCCGAAGTCTCCCATCGAGGGGTCCCTGCGGGGTCCTGATCCCCCCACCCAGGCAGAAGCCGGCCCAGAAGCCCCGGGGGGGTCCCGTGCTCCTATCGGAGCCCCCCCAGCCCTGACCCGGCCCCGGCGTTGGGTTTGCAAAGCGGTGGCAGCTCGCCGGGGCGGGCGATGCGCAAAGCGATACGAATCAGAAATGAGATTTTGAAGTCCTAATGAACCTGATTGCATGAGCATTTATAATCCCCCATGGCTTTAAATGAAATCAGATATAATCAGGAGCTATGGGGACAGGGAGTGTTTACAGGCAGAGATTGGGAAGTGCTGCTGTATTAGTAAAGATGCTGTTCCTTCTATTGATGTCTGAAATGATGGATAATGTGAGAATGGCAAATATACTATTTGTCTAATGGCTCTGCAATTAAATTCCCCTGTAAATGACCCATGCCTCATTTCATCCTAATCTATGGAATTTTGATTGAATTCGTCAGCTCTAATTGAAAAATACTGCGCTTTAATGTCTGCGGTGCTGTTCCAGGACCGCGGTGGTTTTAATGAGCCGGTGCCCCCTGACCCGGGAATATTTGAGACTTTTCTCCGGGATTGGAGGCGGCGGAATTCCCCCATATGTGCCCGTGTGGGTCCCCCCGATCCGCTTCTGTCCCTCCGAGCGCCGTTCTCCGCTCCGCTCCTTCGCCGCTCCCCAGATATTTTGCCTGCAGTTTTCTACATCCGAAAAAAGAATCAGATCCCATTCCCCACCGCTCAAGTCCGAACGAATTCGGGGCGTTCAACGGTGCTGCCAGAGCCTCTCTCCTTCCTGATAAAGCCGTCCGCATGCACGCAGAGGATCGGGGCGATGGGGGGGAGGGGGGACATTCGTCCTTTTTGCCTCCTCTTTCCAGCCCGAAAATGCAGTGAAGAAAAGATTGCGGGATGGGGGGA